CCCCAAAACCCCAAAACCCCAAAACCCCATTAAGGCATTTTGTAAAAAATATGATGGATGAAGTTGATTAATAAATTAATAGTAATGAATAGGATGATAAATTAATCATTGCTTCCAGTGTTATTAATTATTCTATTAGTAGTATAGCCCAATAAATATAAAATGCTTCAGTTAATAAAAAAGTTTGATAGAAATGGAGAACCTATCTCTCTTAATTACAAAGGAAAGCATCAACATTAGACAGTTACAGGCGGATTGATTACACTGTTCTAGATTTGTGGAATAATAGCCTTTTTCTTTATTCTATTGAACAGAATCATTGGCAAAGAAAAAAATATATGAATAAAATCAATCTACAAGAGTGCTACTAAAGATAATTAATCTTATCACTTAGGCTTTGATAACTTTGATATAGCATTCGGGATTAAATTCGTGCAGAACTAAGATGAAGATTTTTATCTGGGGTATGATATTAAGAGATATCTCAACATTAGTTTCGTGTATCAAAATATAACATTCATAAAAAACAAAACAGATGGATCATTCGACACAATACGTTAAAATTGATTTATAGATTATGAAAATTGTGGCAATGATAGATTTTTGAATAAAACTGATGAAATGAATGCAATAGGATTATATAAATAAGGTTGGTTATGTATAAAAGAACTAGATTTATAAATACGTGGTTAGGAGATGAGTTTATAAAGAAACTTGCTGAGGTTAAGTGTGTCTCCTTGTTCAAATGATAGTATTTAGTCATCAGGAGCAAACATAAAATGTGCTTCTAAATAAGAGATAATCGACTTTATTAGCAAAATACAGTTTATGTTAGCTTTCATCAACAGCTATTTTGATCAAGATGATTTTGAAGATCCAATAAAGACATAAGTAGTTATTCAATTTTACAATGCTATAGAAGGATAAGCATATAATGCCTACTTAAACTTGTAAAAAATATTTTTAAATAGTTACAACAGCTGGCTTTCAACGCTATTTGACAAGAAAGAATATGATTATTTATCGATTGAGTTCATAAGATCAATACAGGGAACAATCAAGCCTGGAGTTTGGGAAATGTTTAATATCTTGATTTTCTGCCACAAAGAAGAAAAAGTTATTGAGAGATTATCGATTAACCTTGTGGATATAATGACGATTCTTGGAGGCTTTATAAACATACTATCTCTTTTGACAAAAATTATTTCTAAAATGTTCTCAAAATAAGTATTCTATTGGTAGCTTATAACAGAAATGTTTCACTTTGATGATACTTAATAGAAATATAACTCTAAATTCAATAATCTGCCCTCAAGGGATTAAAATACCAAGTAAGCTGAGAATAATGACACAAAATTCATAATTGATAAAAAATCTTTTAAAGATAAGATATTACAATTAATGGAAAGATAAAGATATAAAGGTATAAGTGATATTTTTAATTTCTGTATAAGAAGATTATCCAGGAAGAAAAATAGAGTAGTAAATTTTTATGAGTAAGGCACGAAAAAACTTGACAAAGTTCTGGATGTTTGAAATATTATAAAAACCATTGAAAGAACTAAATAGATAACAAAGTTACTTGTTAGCAGAGATTAGTATTGTATGGTAAAGTTTATGAAGTACAATACTATTTATAGTGATAATTAAAATAAAGAAAAAAATCTTAGTTTCGGATAAACTAGAGATAAGGATGTAGGTAAAGTGGTTAAATCTTTATGGAAGAAAAAAGAAAGAAATATATCATAACTTATCATTGATGATATAATGGCGTTATAATTATCTTAATCAAAGAACCTTACCACCAAATAACCTGATAATCCTAAGGAATAAGCAAAGAAAAGTAAATTAAAGATTCCAAAAAAAGTTCGAGTTAAATAACAAAAGGACATTATATCCGTTGAGAAGTTTGATTCTCAAAAAGATATCATTGATGAGCTAAATTATCCAAAGTTAAAGCCATTTAACAATGAGTCATTCTAATCAACGAGAAACTTGCTCTTGAACTCCATGAATCTAGATGATAATAGATTAACTAATTAGTCAGCTATTAACCTTAAACAGTATGTAATTGTAAAAAAGGCAAAGCCGAAACATAAGCTGTTTGGTATAGAAAAAATAAATAAAAAATCTACTTGATAAAATTAAAATTTATGGTTTAATAGATTCTTTATTAAAACTAATCTTTATTCATGGGGTTTTGGGGTTTTGGGGTTTTGGGG